AAGGGGCATTCTTATAACCCCATTTTGTATAGAGCCAGAGGGCCTATTCTTTTTTGCAGAGTCCTCTCTACCAGGGGACTCTCGTACTAACTCTGCACTGTACCTTTCTACTTTTCAGTAATATTTTCGTTAACATTTGTTAAATATGTTAATGGAATCCAAGGTTTTCTCTAAGATTGACATGAAAAGTGAGTACCATCCAAACAAGATCCTCCCTAGTGATGAGTGGAAACCGCTTTTAAGTCTTGAGTGGTTGGTTATGTCGTTTAGATTATCCAATGCCCCGAACACTTCTATAGGTCGAGTGCTTCAGCACTTTAATGGGAAATTGTGCTTGTGAATCATAATGTTATTCTTAGTCATAATCCATAGATGTTGAGCACTTGGATCATGTGAGACAGGTCTTGAAGGCATTTCAAAAGGATCAATTAGTTATTAATTTCAAGAAGTGCACTTCTACAACAGAAAGTTGTATTCTAAGGGTTTGAAGTATCAGTCGAGGGGTCAAGGTCGATAAGCAAAGGTGCGGGCAACTGACCTACACTGAAAACCATAAGGTAACGAGTTTCCATGGCTTGGCTACCTGCTACCTTGGCTACCTACTACCTTCTACAGAAAGCTTATAAAAGAAAGACACGGTTTCTATGTCACCTCTTAAAAATCTATTTTAGAGATGGATTTTTGGACTTATAAAAAAAAGACACGGTTTCTATGAGTCCATGTAGAAATGAGTCACCTCTTAAAAATATATTTTTGAGATGGATTTTTTGACTTAATTTTTAAGGACAAGTGATCTCTAACATGGAGATCATGAATACGAAAGAATAAATAAATTTTGAAAATTAGAAATAATAATTCTATTAAGAAAACATTTGGATCGTTAGTGTCAATTGTTTTTAGATGGACCACCTATCAGGATGCTTTATAACTTGGGACCGCATATTGTAGAAATGCGGTCCAGCCCGCATGAAACAATTTTCCATAAAAAATTCAGCATTGTAATTACCCTCATAACTAATCGTATGCAGAAAGGGGTGTTTGAGTAAGTAAAGGCAATCAATGAGAGTTTTAAACTTGTTAAGGAGAGAATGAGAAATGCCCATGTTTTGCAAATTCTGAACTTTAGAAAGGTTTTCCAGGTGGAATATGATGCACCACGTGGGGATTGGGGCTGTTCTTAGTCAAAAGGGCAAGTTGTCGCCTCCTTCAGTGAGAAGCTGAATGTGGAGAATTAAGATATTGTGCAAGCCCTTCAACATTGGCGAAACCACCTTATAGAGAGGGAGTTTATTTTGTTTTTGGATCATGAGTCCTTCAAATTCTTAAACGCCCAAAAGAAGACATATCAAATACATGCCACGTGGATTTCCTATGTGTAGGGGTTTGTAATTTAGCACAAGTCTGATTGATGCATTGAGCAAGAGGGCCTACTCACTTGCAAAACATGCAATTGGTTGGTAGGGTTTGAAATCCTTCCAAAATATGTTCCTGACTCATATTTTTGCAAGATTCTTGATCATTATGTGCAGGACAACAAGTTGCAAGTTGGTTTTCGTTTGAAAGTAAGTAATGTATTACTGAAGGTTCTCCTTTAGTTCTCTTTGGATCAAGATTATTGTTAAGGTAGATAACGAAAGCCTTAGTGGCCATTTTGGAATATATTGGTGGAGGAAAAATACTATGGGCCTCAAGCAAGATGTCAATCAGTTCATAGAAGGTGCAGATTTTGTAAGCTAGTCAAGGGCCAAGATCAGAATATCAGATTGTACATCCCTCTCACTATCAGCACCAGCCCATTGACTGATGTCAGCACGGATTTTGTGTTGGGACTTCCTCCCATGCTAGAGGCTGGGGTTCTATATTTGTTGTGGGAAATCGCTTCTCAAAGATGGTACATCTGATTTCTTACAAGAACACCCTAAATGCCCCACAAGCAGCTGATTTGTTCTTCAGGGAAGTGGTCGGCTTCACGGAATTCCGGAGACTATTATAGCTTATTGCATCACAAGATTCATGAGTCACTTTTAGTATACCCTATGGAAGAAATTGGACACCCAACTTGAATACAGCAGTATGCCAGTACCTACTATCCTACTATCCAAAAACTAATGGGCAGACAAAGGTTATGAAAGAAGCCTCGAGAATTTGCTAAGGAGCCTTGCCAGTGACAAGCCTAACTAGTGGGATCCCAAGTTGGAAAAATTGTGCGATCTAACCAGTAACCTTTAGGTCGGAACTGGCCACTGGCTGGTTCCAGTTTTGAGCAGTTTTGGTGATCGATTGGTATTTAAAAAAAAAAATCAAAAACACGTATTTAAAATCCCAAAAATAAGGAATTTGGTTTGTAATACGTTTTTTAACATTCTTTACATTATAGTAAAGAGTAGAAATTATTTTGGTCATTAATACTCAACTTTTATATTTTCCCATCTTTTTCAAAAAAATTTAAAATCCATTTTTTCATTAATTTTCAACTTCATTTGAATGTGTTTTGTTTTAATCATTCTTTATATGCTTTTCATATTTTAATAGATTTTTCTTGTATCTTTTTTTATTCTTTTCCAACAATTTTTTGACCACCCGAGACTTGCCCAGTTAGAACGGTTGAATCGGCCGGTTTACCGGTTACGCAGGTAAACCACTTCCAGCCTCATGCCCGGTTAACCGTTCCAGTTCGATTTTGCGAACACTAGTGGGATCAAATTTTGCCCCAAGAAGAGTTCTCCTACAACAGCATTGTCAATAGATCAACAAGTGAACCCCTTTTCAGATTGTATGCAGATAGATGCGGGATAAGGTGTTGGATTTGGTTCTTCTTCCAAGGATGGAGCAAGCCAGCAATGATGCAAAAGCACTAGTAGAGCATCTCAATAAAGTTCATGCGCAGAGAGAGAGTAGGTTCACAAGAACTACAATAAGTGCAAACTTGATGTCAACTAGCACCAATGCAAGAAAGAGTTTAATGAGGGTGATTTGGTGATAATGTATCTAAGGCAAGAATACTCCCTAATGGCACATACCACAAGCTCAAATACGAGAAGATTGGTCTGCATTGTGTACTCCAAAAGATCAGAGAAAATGCTTACCAAATTGAGTTTCTAGATGAATATGGGATATCTCATATCTTCAACGTTTCAGATCTATATAAGTACTATGAGGAACCTAATGTTATGGAAGTTGCTAGGTGGGAGGTTAAAATGCCTAAGGAGGACGCCAAGTTGATATCCAAGGTTCTTCTTATTTGGAGTCTTACTCCCAATTGTAGTTCTATAGTCAAAGTAACCGACCAAGCCAACCACAGCGAAAGGTAGCGTCGGTTCAAGAATCACCTTTGGTCCATGGAAAGATAAATTAATCAGAGAATTCGTGAGATCCATAAGAAGATTTTCTATCATAGAGCTTGAAACATATTTTCCAAAGAGCAAAGTTATGCCTACCACATTGCAATAACGGTCTAGAGGAATATAGTAATCTTTAGCGTCATTCCAATTTTATTAATTAGGAGTTTTAATTACATTAGACTTAGATTAAGGTGTTCAAATTAAGTACATGACGAAGAGTGTATTTGAGTTATTTAGAATTGGGTTTACTAAGAACTTGAGTGGAAATCAAGTGAGCTATTGAAGCTATGCTTGTTAGCTTTCAAATTTATTTGCAATTTTTTTATTCCTTCTATTAAACTCGAATTTGCATCATTTTGCCTCGACGTATTCTATACTTTTTTCATATTATTTCTCGAAAAACTATTACATGAACTATACTAGGCACAAAAAATTATAAAATAGTTTTAAGAAATTGGATTCACTTTTCTTAACTTTTACATTTTTTATTACATATACCATATGGTCAGTGATCCAGCCCTTGGGATCTTCTAGCTTTTCACAATCCCTCACTTAGGATTGTAAAATTATGATATGAACACAAGCTAGACGGGGACTTGGAAATAATCCCTTTTTACTAGTTTTTCTCCTATGTTACAAATATTTGTACGCACCGCCAATTAGTTGTCTCAATGAAACTTGAATTATGCATGTATCTAGTGATTAAAAACCTAGACCAAAGCCTGGAACCATGCAGGACCGGTGCCCAAGTCGACAGTCTAACTAGGCTGCGTCTCAACAAGGCTAGGAGAGTCTCCAACCAAATAATAAAGTAGGACCTAAGACACACTAAGACTCAGATAAGTCCTAAGGTGACCTCGCTAGGTCCAAGTGAGTCCAAGCCTAACTGCCTAAGTCACTGAACTTTCAAACACCACCTATATCATAAGATAAGATTTCACCTAGCATTAAAGATTCGTTTAATTATAAAAGAGAAAAGCTTTATTTTCCTTCACTTTGTTTGTGAGAAGAAAAGTTGATATGCACAATGTGTGCATGATAGTATGTTCATTATAGTTGATATACGCACACACATGCATATCCATGGTTGTGTAGTACTTGCAAGTGTGCATGCATGCACCTCATGCACGAGTGAGATGCAAACCACAAATTTATTCCACATATGGTAGCAAATAAAAGAAAAGAGACAGATACCAAGCAGTCATGCCTATGCATGCATAAACAATAAGTGGTACAGTTATCTTATCTTTTTTTGTACCAAGTAGACAACACACACACACACACCCCATAACTAAACATATGCATACTTTTTTTCCTTTTTTGGAGTAATCTCTCCCCCCCCGCCCCCCATCACCCCAAACAAAAAACAAAGAGGGTCCTCAAACACCATATTAAGTATTCATAGTGGACCTCATGCACTATTATAAACAATGGAGCATGAACCTCAGTATTTTCTTAATTTCTATTGACAATACATAAATAAGGCAACAGAAAATGATGATGATGACACAATTTAGTTATGAAATTTCAGCGCACTCACATGATTAATAGAGTGCCTAAACATGATTGCTTTTTTAAGAGGAAAAGATGGTTCAATGATGAGAAAGTCACAACAAAAATTTGGAGTAGTCCTTACAAATTGATAAAAGACTGAAATACCTGTAACGTTATGGTACCAATAAAGCCAGCCTTAATAGTTACAGGCAACTTGAGTGAATTAAGCGCTTCAGCCTTCAACTGTAAGTCTTTAAGAACTACATCGCCTGTGAAAGAAAGGTGAACCATCAGCTGTGAGTGAAACTTCAATAACTGATAGCAAGGAAGTCAATTCCAACATGTCAAAAGTAAACTTTCTTCACTAGTGGTACACTAACTTGGTATTTACTGTCAAGGCTACGTGTCTAAACTTAGATTTGGATTTTGGAAGCCAATACACGAATATTATACTTAGAAATTCTCACAATTATCATCTCCATTGCTGAATACGCAAACTGAGTACAATGAGAATTAAAGATAACTGGAAACCTGGGGTGCCCGTTCTCATGTTGCCAGAACCCACATAAGCAACCAAAGCAGACAACAGGGAAAAAATATTGAAAAAAAATCGATATGCTGAGAAAAATCCAAAAATCCAGATCGCTCAGAGATGGAAGAAATCACTAAAAACCCATCATCAAAACAGAGTCGGATCGACGAAATTTTCTAGCAGTAAAGCTAATTTCAATCACAAAGCCTCTCATCCATCAAAACAAGCATTCAAAGCGCCAACCTTTCCAGACACTGATCCTCAGGGCTTCAGCCGAGAGTCCCTGAACATATTCCCCCAAATATCTTCGAAGCAAATGCAGAACCTGCATCAAACATCCAAGGAGATCAGCCAAGAACCAGTGATCCCCAATCAGCGAATAAATCAATTGAAGAAAACCCTACATGTGCCTCAAACATGGCCGCCAAGCAAGCAGAATCTCGATTCAGTAGGCAGAATTAAGCCCTGACTCATGCTATACATTGAAGGTTCTTCTTCCGGCTCTCCATTCTTCTCTGAAACATTGATGAAGACAAGACAAGACAATAACCATCAAAACAAAACCAGAGGCGGTGGGAATTAAACCAGAGAGCATGGAAGAGAGAGAGAGAGAGAAGGCGTGAAAAATGAGATGGTTTCGGAATGGTACAGTGCGGACGCAATTGCGGTCTTACAGGGGCACGTCTCTCACTCTCTCTCTTCACTCTCTTTCTCTCTCTAAAAACATGATCTCGGTAATGCATTCCTCGACGAAGGAAGAAGCGGGGGCCAAGCGACGATTCAATCTCCCATACAAAAACTTCATCATCGTCAATTTCCCGTACCAAAAACATCATCGTCAATTTATCGTGGGATGATTTATTTTGTCCCACAAAAAGTGGTTTGTTAATTAAAGGCACCAAACTCCCAAAGCAAGAGGGCTTTTATTTCGTGTATTAGGGTTTCAATTACAATGTCTTATTTTTGAGAAGGGATGGTATTGTGTCCAGCTCTGGATGCTTAAAAAGAGCATAAGCTCCTTTTCAATGATTCACATTGAACCAGCCCCATACAAGGGTAAAAAATGAGCTTTATTTTTTTTTTTTTTATACAAATGATATTAATATGAAATTTAGATTTTATTTTTATTTTTATAAGTAGAATTGAATAACAAGTTTAATAATAATAGAAGTAGAGATGAGAAAGTAGTTAAAATTGACGGCCATCTTGAATCCATAATCTAGGAAAATTGAGAGATTGAAGAAGATGTTGCATATAGATTAGAGTTGGATAAGCAAAGTGGAGATGACTAGAATTTTATGTGATCGTCGGACACCAATAAAGCTCAAAGGCAAGTTCTATATAACAACTATGAGACCAGCTTTGCTCTATGGGCGAAATGTTGAACAGACAAAATAATAATATACCCATAGAATGAGTGTAGCGGATATAAGAATGTTGAGATGAATGAGTGGCAAGACAAGAAGGGATAAAATTCAAAATGAATGGCACCAACAAACAATAAAATCATAAATAGCACACTTAGGTGGGCTAGCCATGTGTGGCGCTGACCTAGTACAACAACTATTAGGAGGTATGAATCACATCAAGTGGAAGAATTGAAAATAACAAGGGATAGGCCCAAAAGCATGGATTGGAAGGAGTCTGAAAATTATTGAGACTTATGGCCTCACTAAGAGTATGGTATTTGATAGAGCAGAATGGCGAACTAGGATTCATGTAGTCAACCCCGATTAATTGGGAAAAGACTTTGATAATGATGATGATAATAATGAAGTAGAATTGAATAAAAATAAAATATATATATTTTAAAAAAATACTGATCAAAATAAAATTAAAGATATTTTAGTTTTTTGTATTTAAAGTATTTTTAATTATTTTTGTTTAATTTTATATTTATAAATTTTATAAAATTTGAACCTTCAAGCCAAAATTCAAAAAGATATCTTATTTAATTGAAATTATTTTTTGGACTTTAGATATAGTCTTCTGAAATCTCAACCATTCAAAGGATGCTTGTGCACACTTCCACCCATGCACATCATTTAGATGGGATACTTTTCCTTTCGAGAAAATTATGTCCTCTTTTTTACCGGTTCCCTTAGAAAGCAACCAATTAAACCAATGGTTTAAAAAAGCATATCGGTGACCCCGATCGGGCACCTCAAAAATAGATCCGGATCGGCGAATTGGCGATCCAGATCGAGAATCGATTGAATCGGTCGAATTAAAGCTTCAAAAAAATCCAAAAAATTATTAAAATTCATTATAAATGTTGTTTTTTAGGAATCCAATAAGAAATGAGGGTACTACATTATTAACTTTCATTTTTTTCATCAATTTGTGAATATTTAGATGTTATTTCGCTATATAAACTTAAGTATTAAATTTGCATCGCATAAAAGAAAAATCATAGAATTATCATGGATAAAATATATAATTATACATGAACTATAATAAAGAGTAGACTAAATCAATGAAAGAATGGCCATTAAAATCTCGTTTTGGATAAAAACCTTAATCCGCTAAAAAAACTCAAATTATTATAGCCTAACTAACTATAATCCAAAATTATTACAACCTAACTAATTATAATATTATATACTGAAATTATAATTATTAGTTTACATTTTATAATTATTTTATTAGACAATAATAACAAATTAAAAATATTTTATAATATTATCTAATTTAAAATGTATTATCGACAATTGTAAGAAAAAAAGTATATTACATGATTTATAATGTAAAAATTAATAAATAAAATAAAAGATTTGGTTATCAATATAAAAATTAATAAAATACGTACAAATTTTGGAAATAACACTTTAATTTATTATATGCCCAAAGGGGAACATAAATTAGCTCAAGAAGGGATAAACTATTTATATGGCCCAAGGGGGGATTCGAAACTTGAGAAGTCAAAGCAAATAACATTAGTGATAACCATCATGCCTCCTTAGCATATGTATTTAAAATTGTATATTAATAACATATATTTACATTTTGTTTTCATTTAATGATGTTTGGGAATTATCCCACATCGAAGTCTTCAAATATGCTATATAAATAACTATGTAATTGGAAGATAAACACAAGTATGAAAACACTAGAGCATCCGTGCACATACACGCATGCATGTGTGTGTCGCACATGTGGCACATGTGAGAGTGGTGTGTGTCGTACATGTGAAGGTATACATGTTCATTTGCATGTCCAACGTGGGGTAGTGTGTACCGATCGTGTCACACGCACACACGTGTGGGAGTGGTGCGTTTCGCACGCGTGACGCGTACACAAGTGTGAAGGTGCTTTTTAGGCTAGAACCGGAAGGGAACCGAACAAAGTCAGGTGGGAACCGGCGGTTCTGGTCGGGAACCGGCGGTTCTGGTCTGGAACCGGCGGTTCTGGTCTAGAACATAGCGGTTCTAGAACATCGCGGCACGGACTGTGCCGATTCCCGAGTTGAACCTGGCGCAGATTTTTAAATCATTGAATTAAACAAATTGTGTGCTGAGAAAATTGCATTCGGATAAAAAAACACGTGGAATTAAAAAATGATTTTTTATGTTGAGGTCCAAATATTAAAAGTTTTTTATTCTCATTTCCACTTTTAAGCTGAAAGCTTGTTTGAACATGTCCTTTTTGGGGTCTAAAAGGCACTTCGGCAGACCAAATGTTGTACCGACCATAGTTAGTAAATTGCCATTTAATCGGTGGTTTTTTCAAAAAATTGGCATTTTTATGGAAATAGTTTTAAACGACGACCTTTTGAAAAGGTTGTGAAAAAATCGCGTACTTTTCATAAAAACGTGATTTTTTCATAATTCTATTTAAATCAAGCCAAAAAATTGTATTTTTTTTTTACCTATATTTTTTTTTCCATTGTTTTGTGTATTGCAGCGATAGCTACTTTCATGCTTTTGAAAACAAATAAATTATTTCAAACAAAAACCTAAAATATAATTTTTTTATCCCCACGGTATTCTTCAAAGCCACAATTGCAGATTGAAAGTATGAATTTTTTTCCTTTTAAAAAAAAATTAAACGAAGTTGTTATTATGGAAAATCATTGTATAAATGAAATAATACTGTTTATAGCAAATCATTTTGTAAAGTAAATCATTGTGTAAAGAAAATCATATACATGCAAATTTCTGGTATTATTTGTGATAATTGTTTTTATGAAAATAATGTTTATGGCACAAATTAGAGCTCAAAACATAATATTTTACTAATGAATGAGAAGCAGAGAGTGTGAGCACAGGTTTTTTATTATGTGACAACAAAAATAAGCAATATAGTGTAAATTGTAAACTTACAGCAGCAAGCAATTTTTCAAACTTGTTGTTTCCCCAACAAAATTAAAAACCATATTCCTTTTCTCTCTCTAAAAATCAATTGGGGCCTCTTCACAAATAAAAAAATCAGTTAGGGCCTCTTCAGAAATCGGTATAATTAGGGGTTTCTTTCAAACAACAACTCATGTATAATTAGGGCTTTCTCTCAAACAACAACAACTCAAATCAGAAAGAAAAATCCTCTTCAAACTATCCCAGATCAGCATCACATCTTCCTTTCCTTTTCTCTCTCTAAAAATCTGTTGGGGCCTCTTCCATTAGGGTTTGTGAAGCCAATGAATTCTTCCTTCTTCCTTCTTCCTTTTTACTCCGATTTTTTGAGCCTAATCCGATATATGAGAGATATCTTTTATATGAAGTATTTTTTGTTATCCATATTTTTTACCCAATTTTTCATTCGACTTTTTACAATAAAAAAAATTATTTTTCGATTTTATGGTGAGCCGATTTATTGATAGTCCCCGACTTGCTAACTATGGTACAGACAAACCACCCACAATCCTTAGAAAATTTGGTTATAAAGTCACGCTTTCAAGCAGTTCCGACGCTTTTGTTTTTTGAAAAAAGTTTATATAAGAGCGAGCCCCTAAACAATCAAATTAAGGTGTACCTCAAAAATTCATTCGAAGATGTTGTTTCTGTGCTAAAAAATCTTCGAATTGATCATCTCAATCTCAATATGTATGAACATAAGAAAAAATAGATTTCAAGAGTGCATCTTATAATGCATTTTCTGGACTTATAATTTTCAAGATTTTCAAGTGTTCATATATTTGTTCTATCTACACTATTTTTGAAGTTTTAAAATTTATAATAAGATAAACAAATAAATTTTAGGCCATTACAAAGTATTTCAATATTGAAACAATACCTTTTGATGCTATTGGAAGGTCAGCCCTACTTTCATTGTTTAGGCCTCAGTCTTATACGAACTGCACCCTTGTGTGTGTGTGTTCAGATAAGGTGTGGCCTTCGATCCGCTTACTCAATAATGGTTGGCAGTTTGAAAGTTGCAGTTTAGAACCACTGAAAAGGCTAGCATGCAGAAAACCCCCCAACCCCACCCTCTTATCCTCATTATCTCTCTATTCTATTTCTCTGCCCTTCCCTTAAATCATGTTGTATTTTTACTCTGGAAAAGTACTATATATTATATTGAAAGAATATCCATTTTGTTCAAAAGCCTGAAGTATTGGAAATGGTGTTTTGTCTTAGTTATAGAAACAGAAGTAATGAGTTATTTATCCCACGTTAAAGATGTGAGAAGTCTTCTTTAAATATGAGGATATCATCTTTAGTTTGTTCTAAGAACCAAAAAGAAAGAAGACCTTGCATAGCACACATAGAGCACATACATATATGTGCATGGGCGCAAGGCCACAAGGTCACAATGACATGTGTAGGGGTGGACTTGTGCTCATCCATTTAAAATGGATTTGTGC